TACGTTATCCAAAACCAATGTAGAATTATACAGAGAGAGAGAAAGAGAGAGAGAGAGAGAGAGAGAGATAAGTGAATAAGAAATGCCTGAAAGAATGGCTACTGGCACGCTAAGGAGATTTTTCTCCTGGTGGCATAATTTCAGTATTTTTTTAAAACTTCTTTTTAAAAAAAATAAAAAGAAATATTATTTTATTTAATCAGAAAAAAAACAAATCAAAATATTAAACCCTTCCTTGACTGCTTTAATTCTGCTCTTTTTTAATTTAGTTAGTGAAAGCCATTATTTTCTCCAAGGGCCTAACACCATCCTAGCAGCCGTGAGGACCCTCTCCAAGGACCTGCCTAGAATATCAAATCCATTAGCTTGGCCAAGAGCCCTTCAGGGAACGGTCAATTTCCCTCTCTGTCATGCCCAGCATTTGCTCTGTCGGGTTAATCTGTGACTTTAACCCTTGCAACTGTCCTGGAAGCCAGGCAAGGAAGTGGAGTAGATTCAGAGAGCCAGAGCTGAATATTCTGCCACAGAGTGGAGCAACCCCACAGCAACAGAGTTGATGACCCCTCTACTGTTGGTTCCCAGTGACACGGCTCGCATACCAGGAGCGAGCTAGGCACAATTGCTCTGATGAGCAGTAAAGCTGGGCAGTCGCCAGAAAGACATGACCTTCCGTGAACTCTGGAGTGAAGAGAACACAACATTCCCAGGACCAGGACTGACTGACAGCCAATGAAATTATTTCTCAATCTCTACAATCAAAATAAGTCAGAGATGAGCAATGAGAAAGACTGAAGACAAGCTACCGCAATCAAAAGTCACAGTCCATTGTCCAGGTTCCAGGCTGAAATCCGTACTTACACCTAGACTTTCTTGTCAGAAGAAGGATTCAGATACTCCCAAAAGAGCGCCGGCACTCTAAGACGTGTCTAAAAGCAGCAGTTCTCAACCTGTTGGTCGTGACTCCCTTAGGGTCACATGTTAGATCTTTACATTACGATTCATAGCAGTAACAAAATTGCAGTTATGAAGTAGCAATGAAATAATTTTGTGGTGGCGGTATTCACAACATGAGGACCTGTATTAAAGGGTCACGACATTAGGAAGGTTTAGAACCACTTGTCTAAAAGGATCCCGATTCTTTTCTGCAAGAGGTCTGCAGAGGTTAACTCAAGCTACTCTGAACACTGCACAAAGTAGATGCGCAAACATCCTGAGGACTGTTGGCCGTAGGGTCTGCGCCGACATCCCATTCCGGGCATCCAGGGTCCCAGACTAAGTTCAAATCAAACTGGGTGTGCTGGAACCAGAAATCTAGACCAGTACCCAAATGCATAATTCCAATGATCCCATTGGGAGCTGATATAGCCCTCACACAGTTCCTTTCTCTTAAGGTAAAGGTTACTATAATGTGTGTACCAGGGGAAGGATCTGAAACTTCCTTCTCACCAGCCCTGATGGGGAGATTTAAAAATGTACCAGTGTAGCAGGGGACAGGGAGGAGTGGGCGTGGCCGATCTTAGCAGCACCATCTGTGGTGACAGCATTGCAGTTAACACCTGCCTCACCCCCAAACCCTCATTCCTCCACAGACCTGGATGACATCTCTTCCCAGGAACCTGCCTGCGTGTCAGTCTCCATCTCAGAGTCTACTTCCTGGGGAATTGGGCCAGAAACAGATACAATTCTACTATGTGAGAGAAATCACAAAGAAGGCTCATGGAGTCTTATGAGAGAGCTGACGAAAAGAATGCAAATTGGCTGAGCATGCAGACCAACAAACAAAAAGACTATTAAAAAATAAAAATAATAAAGAAAGCTTATCATTTTATTTAACTAGGAAAAAAAAAACAAACAAAAACATTAAATTCTTCCTTGACTAAAGAAGGCACCATGGACCCCAGGGCTGTAAAGCCTCTCTCTTTGTCTCTTATTATACTTTCAGAAACAGAGTATAAGAGTATAGTTATCTTAACACATATTATTCTATGAATAGTTGTAGGAGTTTTCTTGTTTGGTTTTGGTTCTGCGTTTTCAGCAGCTGAGGCTGAGCCAGCTTCAAACAGCAACTGAGGTTGTGCCGGTCACAGGCTGCTTCCTGGTTAGACCAACTGAAATAGCACGCAGAGGGTCAATGAACCATTGCTCTTCCGTTCCTGCGTGTCCATTTTCTATACCTAACAGGATGGGGTCCTCTGAACACGTTTCCAGAGCTGGGGGATTTGCTAGGTGCTCTCTTCACTCCAGTTAACAGATTGATTGAATGAACCTGAAGTCTTTTTGTTTTGTTTTTTAAAAAGAAAGACTGAAAAATTTGAACCGTGCCTTCATTGGAGATGGTAGTCTAAGTTTTGGATGGAGACACTTTGTATTTTAATATAACTCAAGGTCTGTCTGTTACTTCAGAGTGGGCTAAAAAGCCATGAGATTTTTCTGACCTGTACCTCAGTGAGGAAAAACAATCCTACTATGAAGAATTTCCAGGGGTAATGAAAGATGAAGAAGAAATGTGTACTTTCGTTGAGTCTCTATAGTGGTAATTACAGCTTTTGTACAGGAAATAGTTGGGAAAATAAATTACACTAAAAATAGGATAAAAAGTATAAGCACAGAGGATAAATAAACAGGCGATAGATACCAAGGTACATAGGTGGATAGACACATTGATAGCAGATGGAGATTGTTAATAGACAAGCGAAAAATACCTAGGTACATAGACACATTGGTAGCATGGAGATAGTTAATAGAGAGATGACAGATAAATGGATGGATGGATAGATAGCTGATAAAGATAAATGATAGAGAGATTAGGGATACATAGATAGAGTGACTGATAGCTGATAGAGGTAGATGGTAGGGAAATGATAGATGGGGAGATGGATAGATAAATAGATGCATAAATAGTCCCAGGATCTGAGGTTGTTGTATGTTTTTGCCGTGTTTAAAAGCCACTGGTGTTCTGTATCTTGAGATGAAAATGATGCCTCAGTGGGACTAAACTGAAAGAGTAACTGGGATCGGGTACCCAGATAGAAATGAACAACAAAAAGCATACGTGCTGTGGTCTACGATGCCCTCCACACCTCCCTCTCTAAACCCTTCTCTTCTTGTCCATCCATGCTTCTCATTTCTCTTTTTCCAGTGGCCTGGGCTGACTGGCTGCAGCTAGATAATCATCGTGCAATACAATTAATGATTTCCTTTACAGGATTCTTGCTAGTGTTTTATTTTCTACTATTTCTAGTATCTGGCCTCATAAAATCAACTGAATATGGAAATGTGGACCTCAGCTGTCTTCCTCTTCGGCATATGGTAGTTATGCCTTTAAGAAAGCTGTTTTGTTGTCACGGTTCCAAGGCATTTCACTGACGAGAGTTATCAAAATCTGCCTACAAATCAACCCCGAGGAGATTGCTCCAACACAAACGTTATTAGGAAAATGATCACGGCAAGAAAACAGTAACAAAGAATGGCTTCGGGGAAATTCCGGCTAGTTGCTGCTTTCCAGAAAGGTCTAAATTCTAACCCCCAGAAATAAGGACTGATCAAAGGCTGCCTCTCTGGGTGAAATTAGATTCCTCTTTCAGATGTAGTGATAGGTTATTCCTGAAAAAATAACAGAGCTCAGAACTTTGTGGGGAGGAAGCTCATGTTATTTCTAGGGCAAGGATTAGAGTTCAGAACTCAGAAACTCTTCCGTCTCCCGTGTGGCTGTTCCTTTTCCTCTCTCACATGTGGGTCCCCAGGTACGTGCAGGTGCTAAACATTTTCCCTGTAGTCTTATTTGGCTAAACTGCCTGGTATATGAGTCAAAGAAGCTCCTAAGTAACAATGGATTTCCTCCCTCTTCCCTCATAGTCAATGATGTTACCTCCACAATAAGCAACTTGGAGATGTGTTATCCGATTTGCTCCTTCAACCCGCCTTTCTTTGAACAACAGACAATCACCAAGGTATGGAATATTAGAACCAACAAAGATCTTAAAAGTATGCTTATTTAAGGATTAATAAAATATAGACATGTGAGCCACCAACTAACTGTTCTGGCAATTCTGATCCTTATATCAGTTCATTAGTAACTGTTCCTTCACAGTGAAATTCGCTGCTTGGTACTTGACAGTCACCCTGCACAAAACAGAATCAACCGGCTACTATAAACACAGCTTCAGACATGCACTATTACCCCAATGATGCATTAGTCTATGGGCTTTATGACGCAGAAAAGGGTTCTATGGGTGGACTGCTCCCCACCTGTACTATGTTCAAGTGTCCTTTCTCACTGTGATGCAGTAACGGGAGACAAGGATCTATCTCAAAGACTACTAGAAAAGGGCTCTAGAAGCAAAATGAAGAAAAAGTAAGACAATTCCAAAAATACATATGAATTTTAAAGCTTAGAATTAACTGGTCAATTATAAGACAACATGTATGCTCCAACTGTTACTGCATGTATTATGTATGCTCTAACATGCATTTATTTGTGTTCCAAGCAGTTTATAGCCAAATGTCCTCAGGAAACCAGTCTACTAAGCAAATGAGGAAATAGTTAAGATCCTCTGTGTGTCCATCTTAACTCAACTTCTATGCTCCATGCCTGTGCTCAATCCAGATCTGTTTCCTATCTCTACCCTCCTTTCTCTCCTGTGCTCTATGGACAAGATGAAAGTCAATAACACATCTTTTTAGTTGATGTATCTATTTGTTAAGACAGGAAGAATATAAATCATTAGATATGTGAAGATACCCTCAATCCATCCAGATCTCATTTATTTATTTAATCTTCATAGCCACTGAATAGACTTATCATACTGGTAAAAAAAATGAGAGCAAAAAATGAGAAAAAAAAAAACTAGTGATACCCTATCATCCGAAATCATGTTAAGTCTCTGAAAGCCCTGGCCTTCACACAAATACCCTTTGCTCTCCAGCCCAGGACACCGCTTCTGATCTGTGAGATATAAACAAGCAAGGAGGAGCCAGTCTCGTCTAGGACCCGGTGTTACCTCTGAAAGGCCAGGCCATGCTGCTCACAGAGAAGGATGGCTACCAGGACTCCAAGGCCATAAAGCTTCATCCCAACAGTGGCTTGCTGAGCAACAAGACTCTCCAAGGGAGAACGTCCCAGATAACTGATTGCATAAGAGTCTTCTTTACACACTAGTTAAAGTATAACACTGGGTTCCCTCTGTCTCTGTAGCTCTATTTCCACAGTCTAAAAGAAACACACACATATAATTAGGTTGTTTGATAGCCAAACCCTCAAAAAAATATGATGAGAACCACCCCTGTGTTTAGTTTAGACAGCCTCACCCCAGACATGGTGACATGGTACATATGCAGTTCATGCAATTGAACTCCAAGGCAAACTCAAAATGTTTCATAATGTTCTAAGTAAATTTGAGTTTCTATATTGGGCCTCGTTCATAGCTACCCTTGGCCTCTCATAGCTATGTGTAGCCTATGGATAGCAGGAGAAGGCCTGGAAAGTTCTGTGGCAGGACGAGGTCTGAAGATTTACAACCATGAAGATTGACGGAGGGACATTTGTTTGAAAAAAAACCTTTGGAACAGGGTCACGCTGGGTTTCCACATCCCCAAATAAAGGAGCATAAATGTAAGTGATGAATACAAACAAGAGCAAATAAATAACAGACACAGTAGAGAGGAGGGGGAACGAGCCCAAGTAACTATCCCTCATTGAAAACAGATGTTTTTCATACATCACTTTCTGATCATGGTTTCCCTCATCTCCTTCCAGATCTTTCCTACCTCCCCATTGTGGTGATTTCTTGTTTGTACCAATAAAGTTTGCCTGAAGATCAGAGGGTAGAGCTAGCTACTAGCTAACCATAAAGGTCTAGAGGTCTGTTAAAAAAAAAAAAAAGACTGAGGTCCTGTCTCCTGCCACCTTATACTTCCTCTCTCTGCCCAGCCATATCATTTCCTGTCTGTCTGGACAGACCTCCAGACCTCTACAGCGAGTTAGTGACTAGCTCCGCCCTCTGATCTTCAGGCAAGCTTTATTTGTACAAACAAGATTATCGCCACACCCCTCCCTTCCAGCTCCATGCTTTCTTCCCCTCTCTCTCTCACTTTAGAAAACAAACAGGCAAACAAACAAATTACCAAAACCAGAATAAAATAAAACAAAGAAAAAGCACAAAAATACACACACACAAAAAAACATAAAAACACAAAACCAGAAACCATGATATATGAGCATAAAACAGTAATGGGGAAAAATGCCCAAATAGCAGGGCAGTGGTAACACACACCTTTAACCCCAGCACTCAGGAGGTAGAGACTGAGGCAGGTGGATCTCTGTGAGGCCAGCCTGGTCTACAAGAGTGAGTTACAGGACAGCCAGGGCTGCACAGAGAAACTCTCTTCAAAAAACAAAAACAAAAATACCATTGAGTTAATTTTGAGTTGGCCATCTACTGCTGGGCATAGGCCTGCCCTTAAGAGTGGTTTGTATACCCAGTGAGACTCTATTGGAGAAAACTAATGTTTCGTTTTTGAGCAGTTATCAATTGGAGATGGGTTTTTGTCTAGGTATGGGAGTTTGTGTCCACTTTGCTGTCCCAGCACTGGGAATCCATCTGGTCCAAGCAATACAGGGCCTGTGCATGCTGCCACAGTCTCTGAAAATACATTTGTGCTGGTTTTTAATGCTTATATATGTATGTGTGTTCGTGTGTGTACACATGAATGTACATGCACATGTGGGCATAAGTTTTTCTTTTTTTAGCCCAAAAGTAACTAGTCAAGAGTTAAGATACTCTGACAAAAATAATAAATTTCATGCTATCTATTTCTTTCTGTGTTTCCTAGAGAAAGTATGAAAATCAATATCTTACTTGTGTTGAAGTATGGACATTTCTTTTAGCAACAAATCTACAGGGTGACATGATCTTTTATGTTTTTTTGTGTCTGACTGTATTAGATAGGGTTCCTACTGCTATAATGAAGCATCATGGCCAAAAGCACCCTGCAGAGGAAAGGGTTGACTTGGCTTATATAGACTAAATCACAGGACATCAAGGAATGCCAAGGTAGGGACTCAAACGGCAGGATCCTGGAGGCAGAAGCTGATGCAGAGGCCATGAAGTACCGCTCCTTGTGGCTTGCCCGGCCTGCTTTCTAAAGAACCACCAGCCCAGGGGTGGCACCACCCACAATGCATACTGGGTCCTCCCCATTGTCTCATGAAGACAATGTTATAAGTTTACCTGTAACCTGATCTCACAGAGGCATCTTCTCAGTTGAGGTTTCCTCCTCTCAGATGACTCTAGTTTGTGTCAAGTTAACATGAAACCATCCGGAACGCTGACCTTAACTCCCTGCTTCCCTTAGTCCCGAACACTAGTCTAGTTGCACATAGCACGCATGACATAGGTTTCCTGTCCCGTGACATTTCTTGCTGCGTTGGGACTCTGCTGACAGGGTCATTGCTGCTCCTGGACAGGCTAGCAGTCCTGAAGGCCATCTTCTTGATGCTTCTCAGGCCTGTCCCTCTGGTCTAGATGTGGTTTTACTTTTTATTATCTTTTGATTTGAGGATTTAGGTGTTTCCTTCTCTAGCCATCCCATCTTTGCTGGTCCTAGGCTGGGGCTTCCACTGGAGTCTGGTACTCTCTCCTTCATGTCCTAGATCTGTCCTTTCACCATTAGAAAATCACGACATTGGTTCCTTTAAGTTTCATCCTGGGTGCGTTTCTCTGTACCACCTTCAGATTCACTATCTTAGCAGTGGTCACACAGTCCCTAGAGAACTATCTCGGCAACTATAAACCCGCATAGGGCGTTTATATGTTTACCCATTTTGTTTTTATAGCAGTATTTTTAAAGTACTATGTTAAGCTACTTTATTGTTCAATCTTTTACAGTAAGATTGCTTAAGGCCCCTCCCTTCCTCCATGCCCCTTTCCCCCCTCTCCTCACCCGCGCCCCCCCTCCTCTCTTCTCTCCTTCTCTTTCTGGCCAGCCAGGCTCGCTTGCAGATCCCAAGAGCACTCAGAATATTTCTTTAAAGTCAGTGTCACACTGCTCTGCCAGGTCAATTACGTTCAGAGCAAATCTGTGCTGATTTTGTTTCTGCCCTCATTAGCTTTGTGTTTTCAGAGACAGAGTCCTAATTTGCAGGCTCATTTTGAGCAGGGTGTCTTTCGCGAAAAAAAGTTTCTGTTTCTCTCTTTCTACGCTCTCTTCTCATTGTTCTGTACTCTCCAATACCAGCCCCAAGTAAGTCCCCCCCCCCCCCCACACACACACAGAGTTTCTCTGTGTACCCCTGGCTGTCCTGGTACTCAGAGATCCACCTGCCTCTGCAAGTAACTCCTTAACGTTTGGCCCAAGTCCTGACTTCTGCCAGATTTTGGATTTCCTATAACAGAATAATGTTAATGGCTTTCAAAATGCAGGCACCCAGCGAGGGCAAAGGGACACCTTTATTGATTGATTTTTCTCTTTTATTGCCTGCAAACCAGCACCTATTTGTAAACCACTCTGGGCAGCAGTGAGCAACCCTCTGAGATTCTTTTGGTTGTGGCGTGCACAGAAAAACGCACAGATCTGTGAAGTTGGGTTCGCCTTACAAGATGCATGTACATACTGGAGTACTGTGCACCCCATCAAGGTACAGCCCTGTCACCCTGTCTGCCCCAGCCAGATTCTCCTACTGCAGCAGCCTCTGGCTATGATCCTATCTCTGCAGTGTGGCTTCCCTGGCTTGAGAACATCAAGTGAGCATACAGGGAGCTGTACTTTGTGTCATGCTTTGTCTGCTGGTGTACGCTAAAGAATCTCCCACGTCATTCGGTGCACTAGAAATTGGTTCTTTCTTGCTGCTGCGTGGCATTTAGATACAACTGTAGCACTGTTTACTCAATTCTTCCAGGAAAGGACATCTGGGGTACGCTATTATTATGCATACAGCTGCTATGCATATTCAGCTACCAGGCTTCTTGCATGAGTGCCATTGTTAGGGAACAAGCATGTGTAGATGTTAAAGTCCTAACCGCTCTGTTTTCTTCTCATTATTTGTTGTGGTCAGTCTTGTCACTGGGAAGCTATTCTAGCAAGTGTGTGGTGCTTCTTGGTGGGGTTTTAATTTATATTTCCACGATGAAATGTTGGGAAACATTTTTCCGTTCCTGCTGACAGTGTATGTGTGTGTGTGTGTGTGTACACACACACACACATATACATGTAATGATAGCATATATCTGATACATTGTATATTTAGTGTGCATATGAATTTATGTAGGCATAGGCAGGGAAAAGTGCTGATTCCAGTCACGTGTCTGATTTTGTTGGGATTTCGTATGGGTAGTACATAGGCTACTGTTCAGATGTGGAGGTCGGTGTGCAAGGACTGCTGTTGTTTCTCTGTTTCCATCATGTTGGTTTTAGGGATCAAATTCAAGTCATCAGGTTTAGCAGCCAGTACCTTGCTTGGTCTGCTGATCCATCTTGCTGGCCCCTAAATCTTATTTTTAATCAGATGTTTGCCTTATTACTAATGAGTAGGAATTATCACTTCTGGAACTCAGTGCTTTGAGACATAGATTATATGCACGCACACACACACACACACACACACACACACACACACACACACATATCTTTTGGTCTCTTAGAAGTGCACCTTCTGAGCCAGGTGGTGGTGGCACACACCTTTAATCCCAGCACTCGGGAGGCAGAAGCAGGTGGATCTCTGTGAGTTCAAGGTCAGCCTGGTCTACAAGAGCTAGTTCCAGGACAGGCTCCAAAGCTACAGAGAAACCCTGTCTTGAAAAACCACAAAAAAGAAGAAGGAAGAGGAGGAGAGGAGGAGGAGGAAGAGGATAAGAAGAACAAGAAGAAAGAAAGAAAGAAAGAAAGAAAGAGAGAGAGAGAAAGAAAGAAAGAAAGAAGTGCATCTTCTGAAGACAGACTTTTAGCACAGCTCATTCATATTAAATTGGTAAGCAGGAAAGTGTGAGGATAGGCCAGTGCATGCTCCACTCAGAACCTCATCACGACCCCAGAACACCTAGTCCTCTTGCTGTGCTATTTTAGGTGGTAAACTACCATGCACAGAAATAGCCTAGCAGATACAGCGAATTGGCTCATGGCCCCTCTGGAGGACCAGTTT